AACTGAGGAAAAAGTAGGGTTTTTATACAAACAGACATAATTGGCAAATTGCATGCCTACTGGACTAAATCACTGACTGATTGGATGAGACCACTATGCAAGAAAAAAAGGTACAGCTGAAACAATGCACCACTTCATTTTCACTGTTAAATTACATGCCTAAGCAATCTACATTAACCACATTACTGTATGCATACATTCAATAAAACACATTTCTCATTACATCAACATTACACCTAAAAATAGCATTTTAAATGCATCAAACACTCAGTTTCACCCCGTCAGGTAATCAAAGCCTCTGATTGGCTGAATGAGACATAAATTATTCCCCTACCCACAGTTCGTGTTTCCCAGGGGAGGAGAAGTTGTGTTTGTGTGCGCAATGTGTGGAAACTGGAGCGGTATGGGATTATGGAGCGATATCGGCGGGTACCTCACCGAACGCAACACATCATGTTGGTCATCCCTTTATTGCACTCTCCATCTATTTCATAAAATGCATAAACATATAAATTCTAATTTTATTGTCGGACAGAAAGTCAGACAGACCTAAACAGGAACATTCTACATTTTATGCGGTGGAATCAAATGAATGCAAGTGTTACTGTTAGGGAAGCTTTTTCCGCCAGATGTTATTTCAATAGTAGCTTGATCACTGACTCTTCTTTCTTCTTACAAATCGAAATGCAATAAATAATTGCAGGGTAATGATGCAGCCTAATTAAATGGACACTTGCTTCTCAGTAAAACAACTGTAGCCATTTAGTGAAAATCTAGGTGTAGATGGTTGGCTGGTTGGTTATTTTCATTCTATAAGAATAGAATTTTACTGAGACACTGGCAAAAAATTGCATTCAATGGAATTGGAAGTAAATTGCATCTGCAATTAACATGCAATGACATAAATTAAAAACACTGAGTGGGTGGAGGGGCTGGCACTGGCCTGCTCTCTCCTCATAGGTGTTTTTCTCAACAAAAATTGGTAGTCTGCCATTAGCTCCTCAATTATCAGTGCTCCCAGTGGTGTAGCAAATTTTTCAAAAGTATGGGGGTGCTGTTTGTCTGCATATTGCACTAGCTATGAATTGACATTTTTTTAATGGCTGCTGTTTGTTTTATTTTAATATAACATTTTTCCATAATGTTTGTAACTTTACAGTTTCATAAACAATGGTTATAAATGTTAACCTATATATTACATATTACTAGCTTAATAAACTAGCCCCAGCAGCCAAATTAATTTTGTCCTGAGAGTGGTATAGCCTCGATCAATGCCCCATGCCCTAGAACTGCCGGGTCAATCACAACGCAGAGATGTGTTTTGAATTTCTGGATGCAAAGCGGGCGGGTGTTGAGGGCGTGACGACAAATCTGCGCGATGCTGGAGAAAGCACAACAAGGAAGATGGCAACAACTATTAAAAGGTTCTTGTTTGGCTCAGCTTTGGAATCAGTTTTAGATTAGACTTGGGGTTTTCGTTAAAACGTGAGCAAAAAGAAGCTCTACACATTTATAAGCAGGATTTATTCTCAGTTTTATCGACAGGCTGTTTGTTTACACTCCCCCACCAGCTTTCAGTCACGCTTACTACGTCACAGTGAGTTGCGCTCATTGGTCAGAGCGTTGGCCAATAGGCACAGACATTGTTTGAAAGACAACAGGTTGTTCTCATTAACAATCTTCATCTGGGCCAGACTAAATTACACATTTAATCTCATTTAGTCTGGTTTATCAGGCTAAGATATTACACAAAAACAAAAAAGTATCCAGTGTACCTCAACACTAGTTAAAATAATTTAAAATAAGCAAATTTGCTAATTCTGAAACACCTGTAAATGCATATCCAAAACCAGCAGAAGTGGGTAGTAGTCACATTTAGTTAAGTATTTATTTTCTTTTTTTAAGCACTTTTACGAGTAGCCTCGCTCTAAAGTATTTGAGTTAGAATATCAGAAAGTATTGTTACTCTTAAGTCAGTTTTCTGCTTACCCACCAAAGGTGACTTCAATCAGTAAGGAACAATGCACCACAGAAACAGATCTAAAGTTTTATTGAATTTTGACTTCTTTTTTGTACTGAAACTTCTTTATCTTATATTATCATTAATCTGCTGGTTATAATGTGTCAGAGATCAAGTGAATACTGCTGCTTTGAGTGAGCCCGTATGCAATCATACGCAATGCTAACAGTTAAAATTTTACCCCTTAAGCTGATCATACACTGTGTGATTTTTTCAATCTTTGCACGCAGCCACAGCTCACACTGTACGATGAAACCCTGCAGTTTCGTCGTACAGTGAGTTCACAGCTCATGATGTATGTTCTCACACCGTATGGCCCTGATGCTATCTACCTGCTCACACTGTACGTCTAAAAACCAGGTCTAAAAACCAGGTCGGACTCAACTCGGCAATGAGAAGCCAAACGAGTAGAGGAGGAACACAAAGCTCACTAGAGGGAAACGTGCTGCCTTGGCAAATTGTGCAATTTTGTGTGCTGAAAGCCCTGAAAAGAAAAGGTGATGACATATTGGGACAAAGACATAGCTAAGGAAACGTGGCTACCACAGCCTGTCCATTTACAGAAGGAACTCCATTTCACTTGCACCCTCGACATACTTCTGTGTTTTCGTCTGAGAGGCAGAAGAAGAGGAAGGAGAATCATCATCCTTGCGCATGCTTGCCCAAGACCACCTTACTACGGCCGACTGAATTTCAAACATGTTTGATATTCTCCCAACCTCACGATTCCCGATAGGGAGGCGGTGTTGAGAGGCTGTTCACCCCTCGTAACCCCCTGTACACTACACAAAGAATGATGCACGATAAGGCTGAAAGTAGACCCGATCTAAAAATTGTTGCACGACTGGAGAATCGGTCCGAAAAGGGCAAAAAATCATACAGTGTTTGCCCGGCTTTAGCGTATCAGGACATTTATCCAGCATGTGGGATGAATCTGCACTTTAACTTGCTTTCTCCATGTTCTCCACAATTAACAGCTTGTAGTTGATTTGTTGATAAAAGATTACATCATAAGAAACCCATTGCTTATGTACAAAAGGCTTGAATTATACTAGCAGCACTCTGAACAGTCTTTACACAAGAGAATTATGGTCGGAGTCATCAAGCTATTGGCGCATGCAAAAGGGAAGACTGTAGGTGCAAGAGTGCCTTGAAGAGTGCTCTTGCTTTAAAGCAGCAGTGCAACCCTCTACACCACTGTGCAGCTCATACAGCAAGCAGTACACAACAAATTGTTACTAAAGGTAACACTATTCTACTCTATATAAATTATGTAATTTAAGCACTGCTTTAGACTGAAATTTTAAAATATTAAATCAGTTATTATTATTATAAATCAGGAGTGTCCATAAAATAACAAATAAGCTACTCAGAATTTTTTATGTATTATTCTCTTAAAGAAAAATCCATATATGTCTAAATTAATGATATCTGACTATATATATTCTATATTCATATTATTTTCTATATATATGAAAATATATTCTGAGGTAGCCAATCAGAGGCATTTAACGCTCTGAATCACCACACCTCCCTTAGTTACTTAAGCATTAAGTGCCCTGATGAAGACAGTGTCAACATGAATCTGCTATGGCTTATGCTTCTACTTCTTCATCAAAGATGTAAGTAGATTCAAAAACATAGAATTGCCCTTCACTAAATTGTTTTATGTCTGACTTTGAAATACTTTATTTTTTCTTATTATGTTGTTTTTTAGGTACTGCAGATACTTTGGTTCCTATCACCACAGTCCACCTTGGGGAACCTGTCACTTTATCATGTGTTTTGACTGAGCAGTTTCAGGGCGTAACATGGGTTCACTGGTACAAGCAGAGTGCAGGAAATACTCTGAAATTAATTGCAATGTTGCGTAAAAGTACAAACACTGCTTATGGACCAGGATTTTCATCTACAAGATTTACAATAACAAATAATGGCACACAAAGCACCTTGTTTATTTTGTCAGTCATTGAACAAGATGAGGGAATGTATCACTGTGCTCAAATGGACTGGACTCAATCTGTTTGGACTGGGATTTATTTATCATTAAAAGGTAAATGTCTGTTTTTTGTTATTTTTCAAACTAAAACTTTTTTAATAACTGATCAGTGTTTTGGTATTAAAACATCTTCAGTTAATCAGGATCACTTTCTCCCCTTTTTTCCTTTACAATTAAGCACAAAAAATAGTAAAACAGGTCCTAAGATTTATCAACATTTTTATTATAGTTTGTTTTCTTACTCAAACTTAAACTCCTTTATTTGTTGCTTGCAATTGTGACTTTTGTGAGTGATAACCTACTTTGGATATTTTACTTTAGCACTATATTATTAGGATATTTGCAGAGTTAGGTAATCTTGCTGTAATTATAAAAGTGTGGATTTGGTTTTTTTCTTATTGTTTACATGAAACATTTTCACCAATGCTTATCATGTCCCTCATAGATTTAAGTTAAAGGTAATATTTTATTGTAATGAACATATATAATCCATTGAAGTGATGTTGGATTGACCCATACAAATTCCTAACTTTATTCAAGTAGAGAATTTGTGGAGGGAGCTAATGGTCCATGGATGAGAAAGATGGCCTTCCAACCTGAAATATTAAGAATTCATCCCTGATGTTAAATTGTAGAAATAGGAGTTAATATAGAAAAAGATAGGAAGCAATTACAATAATTGTTTAAATTCTCTAATGACAATAAAGTTGATCTGTTTGATACATTATTAATAGGCTTTTAAAATAAGGCCAATGATAATAGATATAAATAGAAATTTTTATTTCAGTGTCTTTTAAGACTTTGAAGTCATCTTTAATTGAAGAACTGACTTGGTTAATGGCAATATAAATTTAAATCTTAATCTGTAAAGGGTATGAAAACGATTGCCCCAGACTCCACCCCACATTTGTGTTAAAAACCTTCCTAAGATCAAATTTAATAGACAAACATATTGATTTTGATTAAATACTTTTAGGACAGCTTATATAAAAATGGTTTAAAGTTATTTTATTTTTCTTTAATTTCTTCATAGGAAACTCTCAGAGGACATCAAGCTACACTATTGTTCAGGAGCAAACAGTTTCTGATCCCACTCGTCCAACAAGTCCAAAGACTCTGCAGTGTTTAGTCCTGTCTGAATCCGAGAACACAACCTGTTCCGATGAACCTAGTGTATTCTGGATAAGAGCTAGATCAGACACATCCAATCCAGACATCATCTACACTGAGGAAAAAAGTAATAAAAATTGCAAAAAGACATCAAAGAATCAGAAAAAATGTAGTTACAACTTCTCTAAGAACGTCACCTCCTCTGAAGCAGACACATATTATTGTGCTGTGGCTACATGTGGAGAGATATTACTTAGCAGTGGACCAAAGAGGGTAACAAGCAATCAAGGTATGGTGCTTATCATGTCATTTATATTATAAAAGAAGAATCATGCTTTTTTTTTTGATGTGACACATTGTCTTTGTTTTCCAGATAAAAGATTAAGTTTTGAGAGGATTGTTCTTTTGATCACCTTAATCTCTTTAGCCATTTCTGGAACCATGAATATCATTTTAATTTGCTATCGAACTCAAAGATCAGCATGTGCCCGATTTAAAGGTAGGGCTGATTTATTAAACTTAACCTTCCAAAGTTAACACATTATTATTTTTTTAAACAGTGTAACATATCAAATACCATGTTAAAAACTAAATAAACGATACAGCCAAATGTTCAGATCGAAAACCCTACTAAGCTCAGTTTTATTATCATCTGATGTTTGCTTTGTTTACACAGAACATTCCTCTTCAAATCACAGAGACTCAAGCCAACCAATGGATAAGGCAAGTAATAACACTGAATAATTATTGCAACTTTTTAACTGTATTAACAAAAACATCATTAAAACGTTGTCTTGAAAATATTTTCCACAGGGAGAAAATAAACTGGATCTGATTTATGCTGCCTTGCATTTCTCTGGAATGAACAAACAAAAAGCAAAGAATAGAAGAGCACTAAAAACTGAAGAAAGTGTTTATTCACAAGTTTTATTTCAACATGTTAAATGATAGATGTCAAAAAAACTGACTCTGGATTTGTGTAGAACCCAGAGCAAATTAATTACACATATACTGCATATGCTCAGTTGGAGCCCTCCACTTCAGGATCATCTTCTAAATTTATTGTAAAAAATTGCACTCATTTTTTCATCTGCTTTCTTTTATTACTACTGTCCTGACATTTTATAAACGTTAATATTCTTTAATCTACTTGAATAAACATGATTACCATGTGCTAAAATCTGTATACCTAGATAGCATATGGTTTTCTTTTATAGCTGTTAAGCCACTCAAAATTCAAGATTGTGTACCTGCAGTGCTAGATGTGCAAGTCCTAGGCACATCAAGCACACAGTTGGGGGTTACTTTCACTTGTGCCGGAACTGTGAGGCTGACAAATGGGGGCATGAAGGGGGTTGTATTATGTATTATCATTATCCCCATATAATTTTTTTAAGAGAAGTTAAAGAAATACCTAAGATGTCCCTGCTTCTTTTTTTAAAATATGTATACAGTTTATTTTTGTTGTTTTAACCATGTTAACCTGCTGGTTATGATGTGTCAGAGATCAAGTGAATACCACGTGAAACTTGATTTACCCAATCAGCTTATGAAATTGTACTAAATAGCCCTCCATTTTGGTAAAAATTCTAACAGGAGGCTTCCCAGTGGATTTAATTTGAACTCTTCAAAGCACCCATCTGGGTTATGACAGGTCACGGTTTTGGCAGTTGCAAGGACAATGATACTTGTCGACTGCATTTGACAGTGTGTGAAAACTTATAGACAGACTTCCCAGAAGAGTTTGGACCGATATCATATGGAACCCTAAGGTTCAATATGGAATGGGATGTCATATAAATTCATTTGAGAGTCAAGGCGACATAGTGTATCTAGTAATATTTATTACATGCTTTTATTATAAACATGCTGCTATTATATCATGATTACAATCAATATAATAGGAATGGACTTTTTTTTATTATGTACAATAAAACTATTGCTAGATAGACTGAATAAAAGACTGTATAAAAGAGAAAAAAAATCCATGTTTCTGTCTCTAATTTGTATGCCGTTTTGGGGTTAGTCCTGGGACCTTTTTCCACTTTAAGCAGGGGCGATCGTACAGTAAACAGTACTCTGTATATTGTTACTGAAGGTAACTTTATTCTACTCTAGATAAATTAGATAATTTAAGCATTGCTTTAAAAAAATGTGCAATATTTAATCAATTATTAGGATAACCTACTTGAGTCTCCTTTTTACCAAATACCTTTTGACTCTTGAGTAATTTCTTAGGTGCCTGCTTTTTACTATTACTTTTCAAAATGTATGTTAAAGTAGTGCAGTTCTCATGCAGGTGGCGCAGTGGTTCGTGCACACGACCCGGGTTCAAATCTGACCTTTGGTCCTTTGCTGCATGTCTCTCCCCTTCTCTCATACCCCCTTTCCTGTCAGCCTACTTTCAGAAAAACGAGCCACTGGTGCCGTAAAAAACTAAAAAAAAAAAACCTCAAAAAAAAAAAAAAAAAAGTAGTGCAGTTCTGAGTTCTCAACAAACCTCTGTACACCAGAAGGAAGTAGTAGTAGATTGGGTTCATAAGATTCAAATACATTATGGCTCAGTTTACACACAAAAAAGTTTAATCCAAAAATATTTATGTATTTTTTCAATTTCAATAAGCTTCCAACTTTATTAAATTAATATCACAGGATTTATGCTGAAATAGTCAGTCTGCTCCTTTTTTTTCTTTTCTGTATCTCAATTTTGTTTATTAAAATTTGACAGCATAAAGCTTGAAAGTGTTATGACTCTGACTGAGGTGACAAAGAGTTAAATGGTGAGGCAAGCAACAGTGGATGGGATTATCTATGACTACAGAAGCTGAGCTCCCAAATATTACTACTAGGAGGTGAAAGAAAACTTTTCACCTGTTCTTGCCAAATTAAGAAGAAGAATACATTTCTCAGATCTTGGAGTATGTAGCAAGCTTAAATCAAGGGCATTTATCACCCTTCAAGGAAGGTGTGGGTGTAAAAATAACCACTTTCTCTATGGTTGAGACATCTATGAGCGCTTCTGTTTTTTTTGTGTGTGTATGCTATGCAGAAGCTCAGTTGCTGAAGTCCACCCCTCTCTCAAGCACATAGCTTAAGTTCTTCCCACACATGTTGAGAACAAGCAGTGAGACCCCCCAAGACAGTCCGGAGAGAATACAATGATGTAATTCACTGTGAGAGCAAGCACAAATGTAGTTTGTTCTTGTGAAGTTGAGCCTAGTTCTGCCTGAGGTGTGTTGCCTTTGAAGAGTTTTTCTTTACACCAAAACTGCATGCATGCTTAGTAAGACGAATTGCTGCAAATTCACTGATACATTGCAAACTACCAACTTTCACTTCATACTCATCCAGGAAAAATAATTTCCACATGTATAAGCCTAGATGCAATCTGCTGGATTTCTCAAAATATAAACTTTTTTTATCCGATGTCTGTATGATTTTATTGAATTGACTGTGATGCGCCTTGAGATATGTGTTGTTTATGTGTCTTTGGATGCATATTTTTAACTTATGGCGGGGGTCGGCAACCTGCGGCTCTGGAGCTGTATGCAGCTCTTTAGCGCCCCCCTTGTGGCTCCCTGGAGCTTTTTCAAAAATGTATGAACATTTATTTATTTATTTTTTTTTTTTTTATATGGTGTGCAGGAAGTCAAACAAAAAATTTGTTGTTTTCCAATGCTGTAAAAATTTGTATAATAAATACATTTAAACAAT